TTAAAATAAATCCAAAACCTATTTTAAAATTACCAAACTAGCCTAAATTAATTGTTGCCTTAGTTCAAGTTGCTCCTTGGTCTAAAGAGTAACAGGAAAGAACAATTTAAAATCAACGGAATTGCCTAAACTTAAAATATAATATAGTGTAATAGTATTATTCCTTTCACATAAAAACACTTAATCCCCAAGCCCAAGACCTTGCTGGAGATTTCCTTGTTTAACTTCAATTGACAATGGAATGGCTGCTGGAAAATATGATTTTATGAAATATTGTATGACATTTTATGCCCACCACTGTGCTTCATTCTGCAGACTGCTAGTGTGGAAGTCTCAATATGTATCACTGTGTTTCAATTCTAAATTTAGTTCAGTATTCAATTATTCTCCCCGACCACCGTTATTACCTTACCTTCTAACACCTTTATCGAGTTTAAGTTAGCTGGGATCGAATGTGAAAATTGGCCAAGTTTTTATTCAAACACGTTTTACATTTATGTCAATCGGTTAATATCAAATTATGTTACTTGGGTATGACGAATGATTTTCGTTTTTCTAATATAGCCTGAAAATTATTCCTCGTTTACTCTAACGAGTTATATTGGAAGCAATATTTCCAAGATGTATCAAATGTACAAGGACGAAATAAGAAATCAGTACGAGCAACAAAGACCTGAGGAATCACTGGGTTGGAAGAAGCATTGTGTTAGTAGCGTAACATATGATCGGCTTTCCAGAAGTGAAATCCGAGCACCCTAAAAAGGGCACATGCAAATCCTGATAAAAGATTGGTTATAAATTTACAAAAATATCGAAATTTTCAACACAGACAAGTTGAATTAGCTGCACCTGTAAGGCAAAAGTTACTTAAGCGAACACTGATTCAGCCTTTGCAGTGTCTTTTGATTTTCATAAATCTTTCTCTCTTACAAAAATCGGCACAGACGTGACATAATCTAAGCACTGATAGTCTCATTATGGTTTAGGAGTCCAGAATCTTGCCTCAGTGTATGCATAAATAGGTTTAAAATTTTCTCTTAAAGTTAAATCCAGCAGTTTAATTCAATTTTGGAACCATAAGTACCTCGTGAATTAAAAATAATATATAGATTTTAGTTTTACATTATATAAGTTTTGAATTGTTACGAAACGAATAATTTTACACTTTCTCTAAATTCATAAGAAAAGAAAACGCACAAACAATTCTTCGTTTCCTAAAATGAGCACCCAATTTTAATTCTGGAAATATCAGGATTGCCCAACTTTTTTAAACACCTTTGAGGTCTTTTACATGTTGTATTCAGGGGTTAAAATATTTATATTTCCTGTTACCACATCGTACATATAGGTTGGAAAGAATTACAGGAATTTGAATTAGTACAAGATTATATGATAAAAATGACCGCGTCTGTAAACGTTACATGAGAAATAGAAAACATGAATAAACACTTTCCAGTCGAAGGATATTGTTTCCTTATCTTGATCAACCTGCCACAAAACACTTTACAAGTGACAGTCTTCTGGATTTTAAATGACAGGTCCATTTTGTACCCATCAGAGAAAGGGAGAATCTTTTGTCCTTCTATCAACAGAGTAGATGTGGAGAACTAACCGTGCTAAAAATTTTGACGTTTGCTCTAAATAAAAAAATAATAAATACTATTTAGATTTCAAGCATTAAGACAAGAAAATGATTAGCTTGCTAAACTATAAATTTAGGGTTCGTAATCTTAATTTTCAATCAATAATAAAATTAACCTTTTGACTGAAAAAATTTTACTTTAACCATTTGAAAGGTTTACACTTATAGAGGTCTTTGGACCTGAGTGACGGCTCTGTTTTGCATGTTATTGTTGAGAGTCTGACACGAGAATGCAATAACACCCTCCTACATTGATGTTAACATTAGAGACAAAAAGTAGTGTTCTTGTATGATTTAGACGTCCTAGCACCTTAAGACACCTCTCAACTTTAATACAAATTTAACTGTAAGTAGCATATTTAAATGAACAAAAAATCTGATTTTAATTCCTTTTCAATGGCTTGGCCTTTGATTGTAAAGAAGTAACATTAAGTAAGTAATAAAACACTACTGTTAAGTACTGTGTGTATTTACTGTTAAGTAAGTAATAAAAGTAAGTAATAAAACAATTTTTTTATTTTGAATTTTGGAGCTTAATTATCAATATAAAACAATTGCTTTTCAACGAATGTTGACAGTGAACTAAGAAACCCCCTATTTACACCTGACCCGGTTGATGACAAACTGTTTACCACAGACAAGATTGATTGCCTATTCACGTCACAACTTGGGACGCGACAATGTAATCTCGGCTTTAAATTATTGTTTACGAACGAGGGTTGGCAAATAACGTGTTTAGTTTATTGCGATTGTTCAAGATCTCCAGGTTTTGTTGGATACAAACATTTTTTTTTATTTATTTAATTATTAATTTATTTATTTTTTAATTAATTTAAATTATTAATGAAATATTATTTAAATTGTCGTGGATTTTATAAGTAAATTTTTAATCTTATTTGCCTCATTAAATATGCATTAAGTTAATGTTAACAATAATTATTGTAATCCATATTGTACCTTATGATCTAGAATATACGACAAAATTTTATGATTTTTCAAACTTGTGAACAAGTTTTTATCAGATAATAGAACGAAGGTTTTGCCCCAAAACAAGTAGACGCGGTGACGACGGCACAATAAGCTCTTTATCATTAGCGGCTTAATTCACCAACCTCCTCAGTGTTAATTTCATGCATGTTACCTTCGTCATCTGAAATACGTTATTAGTTACGCGTACTAATATATAATGCATTATATAATCTGGGTATTCTGCATGGGTTTAAGTCAAATAAGTCATGATATTCATTGGATTTTAATACTTCACCGCCAAACACGTATCGCTCTACTACGTTTAACATACACAAACATAACAAATAAAAATGTTGCCGTTAGATATTACCTATGGGTCATTCCACACCAACTGAGCCTGACAGGGGAAAAAATATACATTTTTTTTAAATTATTGTTGTTGATGAATTTGTAATAAAAAATGTTTAAGTTTCTTGTGGGATATTTTTAAATTTTTTTATGGTCAATTTTTTATTTTCTGGCCAATTTTGTGGCTGATGTTTGCCCAAAGGGAAAGGTTGGGATTTTAGTGTTTATTGGCAGCCTGTTTTTTTGTTTGCTCTTCATCTGACACTTCAATGCATTTTGGAGGGAAATAGAAGGAAGCTTTTGCTACAAGAACATATACTATTCTTGAGGTACGTACAATTCCTGTTATATTTAATTAATCATTTAAATGGGGGACGCAACATGTAACACCCGTTACAAAAAAAATGAGAAAGTTTATGGGACAAGTACTCAGATTTTAATTTAAACAAGTCCTTCTGGGAAAGTGAGGTTATGTTACAGTTTTGAAGCATGGTTTACTGATTTTATTTGTTAATGCATATTTTAAGTGTGTTTTTATCGTAACGGGTTTTGTAACACCCGTTACAGCATCATACGCAACGGGTGTTACAGTGTTAAATTTCAGTCCTAAGTAACTATTTCCTTCTTTCTATTTAAATTACACCATGTGCACATTACATCTTAGTTCCCAAGAGTGCCTAGATTTTCAATAAAAATAAATATTTAAATTTTTTTAATGCAATTTGGTGACTACAAATGGAAAAGTTATAATATGACTTGAGAAATTGCAAAAACTTTGAGGTTATCTAGAAGTACCAGTAGGCTTGAATATATTTGGCCTGCCTGTTTAATTTTAGGCCTACACAGTAAGCTAAAGTTTTCAATGAGATGTGAATCATGAATTCATTGCAATCTATTTCATAATGTTTGTTTAAACATCGTCTGTAAAGCGCATATGCCAACACTAATAGCCTACAGCCATTTTAGGCTATTTGAAGACTGTATATTGTAGCCTACATTGATAGATAATTAAAGTTTTATTCCAAATTCTAATAGGCTATTAATTTAGTTTTTTTTCCTATTTTTATTGTAGATTATGGCTCCAGTAAAGGAGCGCATGAAAAGGTCGAGAGAAAAGAAGAAGAAAGATTCTGAACAATATGAAGCTTATCTTCAGAAAGAAAGGGAACGGGATTTGAAGTTAGTTTGAACGTTTGAAGGAGAAAGAAAAGTTGAAAACTGATTTGAAGGCAGCAGGTATCAATAGAGAAAAGATAAGGGCAAGAGTAAAATTATATAGGGAGAGAAAAAAAATGTTGACTCCATCTTCTCCTATTCGTCAAAGAAGTGAGAAAAACTCACCGATAGGTACTTATAAGTGTGTCCAAAGTTTTGGGAAAGCAGTAAATAAAGTAAAAAGAATTTTACCTGAGAGTCCTCAGAAAAAAGCTGCTGTTTTGAAAAAGATTGTCTCTGAAATAATTGGCCCAGAAGGAAAAAAGTTGTTTGATATCCCTCGGAAAAAGCCTAATAAGGCTGTAAGTGATGATGAAAAAAAAGTAGTTGTTGACTTTTACTGCCGAGATGACATAAGTCGCCAAGCCCCTGGTATTAAAGACTTTATAACAGTTAAAATTAATGATGGGGGAAAAACTAAATTCCAAAAAAGACATATGATTTTGTCAGTTGGTGAAGCTTATCAAGAGTTCAAAAATTCATTCCCTGATATTGAAATAGGCAAATCTAAATTTTACACCTGTAGTAGAAGTCATTATAGTTTCATATATGAACAGTCATAGTTATTAGTAACGGAAGAGTTATTATGTTTTGCGGGGTGGCTGCACTGTGCACTGGGCCCTGAAGTGGGATGATTCGTCACGGCTCCGTCTTCTATGTCCACCAACGAACGTAAGTGGTTCTCTTGCTATCTTGTCCACTTTTCTAGCGTAACGTTAGGTTACGACATTTTGGCGCAGTCGGTAATAAACCTTTTTATCATAGTTAGGGTAGTACGCGATAACAGTTGTTGTTTTAGTGCGTATTATAGTTGATATGATTAAAAATGGCGAGTATTAGTGTTGGCAGGATTTCTGAATTTAATCCAAGTGAGGAGGACATTGTGCCCTATTTGTTGCGCCTGAAACATTTTTTCAAAGCGAACAATGTTAAGAAGGAGAACGAGGTGTCGGTTTTAATTACAGTTATTGGTCCCAGGGTTTTATCGGTCCTATCCGATTTATTATCACCGGTAGAGGTAGATTCTAAGACCTATGATGAACTTGCAGCGTTGTTGAAATTACATTATGCGCCCAAGAAGTTGGTTGTGGCGGAGCGATATGTATTCTACTCTCGTGTGCAAAAGCCGGGCGAAAGCATAGCGGAGTTTGTGGTTTCAATAAAACATTTGGCTAGTTCGTGCAAATTTGGTACCTTTTTGAAAGACGCTTTGAGGGACAAAGTGATTTCCGGCATTTCTAATGAAACTATCCGGCAGAAATTGTTGTCGGAGGAATTGGACTTTGACGAAGCTTATGCGTTAGCGCTCAGGCTGGAACAGGCCGAATCGCAGTCAAGCCTATTTGTGCAACCTCGTGGGGACATTGCGAAAATCAATGTGAAAAGTCAAAATAGACCTAAAACTTTCATGCATAGGAGTAGTGAAAATCAAAATTCTAGAAACTCTTGCTGGAGGTGTGGTTCTGCTGGTCATTGGCCTAGTGCGTGTGCGTTCGCCAGTTACAAGTGTCATGGTTGTCAGAGAGTAGGTCATCTCAAGAAAGTGTGTAAAGCCAAGAAATCTTCTAGTTTCCATGGTAAAAAGTCGACACCTAGGATGGGGGTCCATCAAGTGGAGGAAGAGGTTGGCCTAGGCCTAGAAGTTCCAATGGCAGAGATAGGTTTGTACAACCTTAAATCAGGATCAGACAACGGCTATAAGGTAGGCCTAGTGGCTAATGATGTATATTTAGAAATGATTCTAGATACAGGCAGTGCCTTGACTATATGTCCTTCTGAGATATTTTATGACAAATTTTCTAACCTCAAACTTAGGCCAGCAAATGTGAAACTTACTACTTATTCAGGTCATGATGTACCTGTTCTGGGACAAGTGAATGTCAATGTTAAGTATAATAATCAGCAGGCGAGTTTGCCTTTGACAGTAGTTAGTTTAGAAAGTAAGAGTCAGCCGATTCTGTTGGGGCGAAACTGGTTAGGCCAGTTGAGGTTAGATTGGCAAAATGTGTTTTCATGTAAAGCCACTGTGGATCACAGTTCTGATTTGGACATTGCTAAATTGAAGAGTAAATTTAAGTCAGTTTTTCAGCCTGGAACGGGCGAAATTAAGGGTGTTAAGGCTCATATTGTCTTAAAGGAGGGGACAGTCCCTAAGTTTTGTAAGGCGAGACCAGTGCCTTTTGCGTTAAGGGAGAAAGTTGAGAGTGAGTTGGACCGCATGGTTCAAGAGGATGTTGCGTACAGAGTTACTAATTCACAGTGGAGCACTCCACTTGTGGTTGTCCCTAAGCCTAATGGTGTTAGGCTTTGTGCCGATTATAAAATTACTCTTAATCAGTGTATTGAAATGGAACATTATCCGCTTCCTCAGGCTCAAGATATTTTTGCAACTCTAGGCGGTTGCTCAGTTTTTAGCTGCCTTGATCTTTCAAATGCGTATCAGCAATTGGCGGTAGCGGATGAATCGCAACATCTGTTGACCCTAGCTACCCATAAGGGTCTGTATCGTTTAAAAAGGCTACCATATGGTTTGTCTTCAGCTCCTGCAATTTTTCAGTCAGCCATCGACCAAATTTTAACAGGTCTTCCAGGAACGGTGGCGTACTTAGATGACGTCTTAGTGGCAGCTCGCTCTAAGGAAGAGGGGCTTGCCCGTCTGGCGCAGGTGCTGCAACGCCTTGATGAGTTTGGTGTTCGAGTAAACCAACAAAAGTGTAAGTTTTTGCAATCTTCAATAGAGTATTTAGGACATGTGATTACTCGAGATGGTCTCCGTCCACAAGAAAGTTTGTTAACTGCGCTGCGTAAAGCGCCTGAGCCTAGTACTAAGGAAGAGTTACGAGCCTATATTGGTCTTATAAATTATTATCATGCATTTATACCTAACCTGTCTGCTAGAATAAGCTGTTTTTATGACTTATTACATAAGGATCATCCATGGGTGTGGTCGGAGGTGTGTTCTAAGACTTTTCAGGAGAGTAAATCATGGGTGTTGGACTCAAGTTTGTTAGTTCACTATGATGTGAAAAAGCCCATAGTTCTGACATGTGATGCGAGTCCCAGAGGGGTGGCTGCTGTTCTATCTCATCTTATCGATGGGCAGGAAAGGCCAATTGCCTTCGCATCGAAAACGCTAAGTTCCAGTGAACGGAATTATTCCCAGTTACATCGGGAGGCTCTGGCTTTGATCTTTGGAGTCAAAAAATTTTCATAAGTATATATATGGACGACACTGTATTTTACAGACTGATCATCAGCCGTTGACGGCTATTTTTGGTTCTAAAAAGGGCGTTCCTAGTATGGCGGCAGGTAGGCTGCAGAGATGGGCCTTGATTCTATCAGCATATGATTTGGAGGTTAGGTACCGGAAGGGAGTGGATGTCCCTCACGCTGATGCGTTGTCTAGGTTACCCTTAGCAGAAGCGGAACCTATAGAGCTGGATGCTAATTTTGTTTCACATGTAGATGTGTGTACAGAAGTGATGAACAATTTCTGTGTTGTCAAGGACATTGCACCTATTACTGTCTTGCATATAGGTAAAATGACGGATAAGGATCCGATTCTTTCGAAGGTCCGAGATTTTGTGATGTACGGCTGGACGAGCTCTGTTGAGCCGGAACTAGCTATTTTTCTAAGGAAGAAGGACGAGTTGTCCGTGGAACAAGGTTGTTTGCTGTGGGGTTCTCGTGTAGTGATTCCAAAGAAACTGTATTCATCTGTGCTTCAAATGTTGCATGATCAACACCCGGGAGTTACACGCATGAAGATGCTGGCGAGAAGTTATGTCTGGTGGCCAGGCATGGAGAAGTCGATTGAAGACGTGGTGGCCTCTTGTTCTGCGTGTCAGTTAACTAGGAATTCGATACCTAAAGTACCGTTGCAGCAATGGCCTACAACATCAACCCGATGGCAGAGGATACACTTTGACTTTGCGGAGGATCCAGAGTCGAGACAGCAACTTTTAGTTTTGATTGACACATACTCTAAATGGTTAGAGGTATTTATCATGAGTTCCATGAATTCTTCCAAGGTTATTGAGAAACTCCGTACCTTGTTTTCATCGTATGGATTGCCTGTCGAACTGGTGTCGGACAACGGAAGATCTTTTACTAGTCAAGAGTTCAAAACCTTTTTGCATAACAACAATGTGAAGTTCACATTAACTCCCCCGTATCATGCGGCTTCAAATGGATCTGCAGAGAGAAGTGTTCAGGAGGTCAAGAAAAACCTTTTGCGTCAAGTGATTGAGGAACATCAGCGTTCTCAGCGTACCACTCTTCAAATGAAATTAGATAATTTCTTGTTTGCGTACCGCAACACTCCAAATACAGTTACTGGCTTAACCCCTGCAGAAATGTTCCTGTCTTGGAAGCCTCGCACACAGTTGGTTATGTTAAAACCCAATCTCCAGTCATCCATTGATCAAAAACACAGGGAACAAAAAGATGCAGCTGATAGGCTTAGGGGAAGAAGTAGATTTTTCTCAGAAGGTCAGGCAGTCTATGTCAAAACTGTCCGAAATGAAAAGATATCTTGGGTTCCTGGCAAAATAATTCTACAGAGAAGTCCGGTCACCTATCTTGTGAGTGTCATTGGTGGAAAACCCCGATTTTGTCATGCAGACCACTTGAGAGCTCGGTATGCAGAAGAGGAGGAGATTTTTGTATCACCCAAGGATCCCGCTGTATCACCCCAAGTACCCAAGAATTCACCCCCGCCGGGAGATCGACCATCTAGTCCCCTGATGATGTCACCTGTACCTAGGCCTACTACCAGTCCCAGGGAGAGCCTAGGGCAAGCTCAGCCTCAGCCAACTCCTGCGTCGCCGCTAGCACAGTGCAGCCCACCACCCTCGCTGAGGAAGTCTGGACGGACTGTGCGAAAGCCTCACAGGCTGGACTTAAAATTAATTTACGTAAAATTATTAATAAATAATGGAAGAAGAAATTTTGGTTGCATTTTATTGAAAGTGAATTTATTTTATTTTGAAAGTTGAGTTAATTTTGAATTTATGATATTGACTTTTTTTATTGGGAAGACGAGTGTAGTAGAAGTCATTATAGTTTCATATATGAACAGTCATAATTATTAGTAACGGAAGAGTTATTATGTTTTGCGGGGTGGCTGCACTGTGCACTGGGCCCTGAAGTGGGATGATTCGTCACGGCTCCGTCTTCTATGTCCACCAACGAACGTAAGTGGTTCTCTTGCTATCTTGTCCACTTTTCTAGCGTAACGTTAGGTTACGACAACACCTTAAGGCCTCCTTATGTGCTTCTACAAACTGACATGCCGCATAACGTGTGCGTCTGCAAATATCACTTCAATGTGATTGAGCTCACTGAATCTTTGAGAAGAGCAATCCAAAACTTTCCGCAGTCTCATACTGAAGTATTGAATCAGGTTTCATGTGACATTGGAAATGAATCTTGTATGTACAGTATGTGCTCAACATGTTCTAAAATTGATTTGAAATCCTTAGTTAGTGAAGATGAGAAAGCCCTGCTGAAAAAAGACATCTCCTGGAAAGAGTGGGGAGAAGATGAAAATAAACGCCCATTGCTGAAAACAGTGGTAGACACTTGTGAGACTGCTCTAAGGAAGTTAGAACTAAAATTAAAGCACTTCAAAAAGCATTGTTTTGTGAAAAAGACACAGTCTAACTACTTTAATCAAGTTAAGAGCAATCTTAAAGATGGAGAGGGTGTTCTGCAATTCGATTTTGCGGAAAATTACTCAGTTGTTACTCAAGACGAAATTCAGTCGGCCCATTGGAGCCATTCGCAAATAACAATTTTTACTTGTTGTCTTTGGCTACCTAAGAAAGAAGTGCAATCTTTTGTGGTAATTAGCGATGACAGGACGCACAGCAAATTTTCTGTGTGGACATTTTTGAAGAGTGTATTGAGCCACATAAAATCAGAGAATGTTTTGAATCATGTATTTATCTTCAGCGATAATTGTGCCGTCCAATAAGGGTGATAAATCCATTAGGGAAAATATTTAATATCTGTGCATTTTTCATCCTACACTGAAATAAAACTCATCAATTCAAGAGTTTCAATTACGTTTTGTTTCTAAAATCAATGGTAAATGTGTAAATTGTTTTTAATATCATGGATTGAAAGATTCACAACTAAGCACCTGCTTGAAATAATTGTGTAACAGCTGTTGTTAAGAAAAATAAACAAACTCATTATTTGCGGTTATTAAAATCTACTGTTACCTTTTCTTACGATTTTGACATGCAAGTTGTAGAATATTAATTTCTTACATTTATACATTTATTTTTATACATTTATTCTAGTTTAGTTTACCTAAATGGAACAAGCAGACCAGACTGTGAACAACAGAAACTAAACATTTAAGCAAAAGTAGTCCAGTTAATACTTGAGAGTTCGGAGAAATATTTTCACCATTATTTTGGTTAAAAATCTAGTTTCTAGTTATATATATATCAATTTGAGAAAAGTGAGGTGGAAGGGATGAATGTTAATATATCTCGTAAAACTACTGAAAAAAGGGAAACCATTTGCCTTTGGAAATGGTTCAAAGGCAGAGGGGGACAGAGCGAAACGGAATGATGAATCTGCACAAAAATTGGACAGGCAGAGACAGGAAAATCAAAGTGGTAGTGGAAGTGAAGAGGAAGAGTTTGACAACGGCTTAAACCTAAGCAAAGCAAATTACGAATCTGGAAAGATGAAGAAAAATGGAGAGTATGTTTCAAGTGAAATAAGAAGTGTTTCAGACGATGATCAAACTGTGATTGAAAATGAAAACTGGACGGAATATAGAAACAGACGACATAGGAGGCCTAATTACAACAATCATGGAAAGGACCAATCCACGTGTAGGCCTAGTAATGGTAACGGTCATTCAAGTAGGCCTAGGCCTAGGCTGGATCACGTACAGAAAACTAGAAGCAACAAAGCTATTTATGGAAAAGCTAAAATTAGTGATGGGTTGAAAAATACTCCTGGCTCTTTATATCAAGATTGAAGGCCACTGTAGATGTGGAATCTGTGAGCCTACATGCAAAAAGTGTGTGTAATGGTGAAGTTGAGGTTATCTGTGAGAAGCTGCCGACTAAGTACAATAGCTATTCATCATTTAAGGTAGGCTGTAAATCTAGTTATATTAATAAGCTACTTGATGCAGAAGTATGGCCAGAGGGGGTGATTGTCTGTCAGTATGTGCCAGCAAGAGGAAGTAGACAGTCTGACCTGGGTAGACCTAGGCCTAGGATTGGGAACTCTCAGCACTCAGAAAAAAACATGCCCTAGACTATAACAAGTATATGGCGTTAGAGTCTAATGTAAATAGTTTAATTAAGGACTGTAATAAATGTAGGTTAAGTTTTTTAAATATTAGATCAGTAAATAAAAAAATGGATGAACTGGAGGTAGAATTAGAACAATTGTCACCGGAAATCGTTGCTTTTGCAGAAACATGGCTGAATCCTACAAAAAATCAACATTTTAAAATAGCTGGATACAAAGTAATCAACAACTCGTTCAGAACAAAATCGACTGGAGGTGGTGTTGCCATAATGATTAAAAATAATATAAGTTTTAAAGCTAAGCCTCTGGCTTTTGAAAACTCGATGGCCGAGGGAGTATTGGAGTCCAGTGCATGTGTTTTATCCCTAAATAACAATATTAGTTTTATGTTGTTGGTTGTGTATCGACCGCCATACGATAATAATTTTAATAAATTTATTGAATATCTAGAAAATGCATTGAAAAAACTAACAGATTTCAACCTGTCCATAATTTGTTGTGGGGATATAAATATTGATGGGAAAACTGACTCACTTCAAAAACTTTATTTGTTTGATGTTCTCAGCTCACATAAATTAATAAATGTAGTTACCGATGACACAAGGGTGACTGACACCACTGCCAAACAAATTGACAAATTGACTATATTGCAGTCAACGAGGACATAAAGTTCACAGACCACGGAGTAATGGCAACACCTATGTCTGATCACCAGTGGCTTTTTGTAGATTTGACCTTAGATATTAAGAAGAATGTTAACTTAAAAATAGAAAAGCATAAATTTAACAAATCAAACATGGAGGAGTTTATTTTTAGATTGAACCAAGAAGAATGGATCAAGGAAAATGATGATAGGCCTAATAATTGTGACTTAGCTTTTAAGGATTTTTACGATAGTTTTATGTACTGCTGTATGGTTAGCTTCCCCAA